CCTCCCCACTTTTCTTTCCCTCCCCTCACATACATTTATTTACCTGAGCTGGGTTCTTGCAGCTGTCACAGGAAAACTGAGGTTTTTTCTTTGCTACCTAGAAGCTTAAACTGCACCTCTGTAAGAAGTTCCCCAGGCTTCTTGCAAAACAGTAGTCAAATAAGCTACCTAATAGTGAATTGTTTTGAACAAATAAATTAGCCTTTCTTTAGGCTTCAAATTATACTGCCTGTTAATTGTCAGTGCAATAACGTAAATGGAGAATGCTGAAGTACTGACAAAATTTACAGCATCTTTTCTGTATTTATTTGCAATGTTCTCGTCATGAGCATAACGTGAATTCCTACCTTTAGCTTTCTAATCAGTACATAATTTCCAATTCTTGCTTTCCAGCCTGGCCTTAGAACAGCAATTTTTGCGGAATGGAAGCATTGTAATACCCACAGTGTGGGTTTTGCACCTTTAACTGTACTTATCGGAATACATAGTAAATCTTCATGAGCGTACAGGTAGTGAAGGTCGCCGTCTCTTCCCCTGCCTGGTGTCCTTTACAGGCAGGACGAATAAGCCATAAAATTTGCAGCTGGAAGTTTCTTGGGAGGAATTAATCCCAGCCTAAAGTAGATTGATGTAACTGGTTTGTACATTTTCATCCTGACAGTCACAGGAGCAGGAGTGGGGTCTAGGAAAAGCTAGCCAGAGTAAAATGCATTTTGGCTGTGCCTGCTGGTGTAATGTCGCTGGGGCTGCGTGTTAATTCCCAGTGCAGAGTCAGGGAGTCGGGAGGCCTTGCTGGCTCGTTAATGTGTCTGACATGGAAGCAGCAGAGCATCTGACCTGTTCTTTCTATCCATAAAACAGTGTTGAAATGGAAACTATTGTTTTGCATGCCTGGATATAAATCAAATCCGTGTAATGACTCCAGTTGGCTTCTTTGGTTAAATAAAATGGTTTTGATAGGGAAAGTAAACAAAAACATCTCTAGGAGAGCAGCTGCACTTAGCATATCTGATACCACTATTTAAAATGAAAATTCAGGCATAATTTTGCAAATTATAATGATCACACCAAATTACAGAAATGGAAATTAAGTTGATCTGACACTTCTTATAGGGAGCCCTTGCTTACACTTGCTTATACTTGGCCAAGGAAGATAGAGGCAAACTGACTTAAGAACCGACCACCTAATCTAACAGTGCAGCACAGAGGAGACCTCCCAACCCCAATCCATTGCAGCTCCTTTTCTCTGTAGAAATAAAAATAGACCATATAGATATGTACCTGTATGGGTATGTGTCTTTGTCCTTAGTAAATATACTGTCTTGCAAAAGACATGGCAACATGTGGAATATAAACCATTTTCTGTGAATATTAAAACTATAAATTATAAGGCTGGATTACATCATGTTTTAAAAAGAGCCTAAAATATTCTCCACTACGGAAAAATTATGTTTACTTTAGCATTCTGTGTGATGAATTATGAGAAGAGAAAGTGCTTTTTAATGAATTAGATTGCTTGATGTAGTGAAAATCACTCTCTATTCACTTCCTGATCCTGTCTCACATTTCTGCTTTAGTTTCTGAAAACAGATGTTTTATGTTCAAAACTGACAGGCTAGTTTCTCAACAAGCTGTGATGCAGCATTTTGCACCACGTACAAACCTAGTCCCAAAAGAAGAAGATAATACCCATTTTCCCGTGCAGTGACTTTTGGGGCACAAACTTGCCAGAAGTTAGGAATTCCAGCTTTGTTTGTATTAAATGTTGATGATCTACATAGCAAACATTGTTTTTATTAAACTAATGAATTGCATCCTGTGAGGAGTATATTTTAAGGAGAATTGAGAGGATAAACATGTCTCTGTGTGTTTGTCACAGCTACAGCTTTTGGCCAGTCACGTCGTTCTGCTGTCATAAATGTTGGCTAGATCATGGTTTTCCTTATTTTATTGCAGTAATTCCTGCTTGATATAAATGAAGTTGTTGGCATTGGTTTGCAATTGCATCATCTTTCTGACTACAGTATCTCTCTCCCATAATTTTGGTAGAAATAGGCTGTTGAGACAGAAATCCTTTTGCAATGTGCAGTATGTTGTCAGTGCCAAGATGAAGGAAATCATCAGCAGGGGCAGCTCAAAACAGTTAGATCAAAATGTATTTTGCCTCTATTGATGCAGTGCAGGCTGATATTTTGCAAGTGTGGAGTAATCAAGGGGAAAAAACCAACAACTGTGTATCCTGCCTCTGCATGTAATGGGATTACCATCAAAGAGTGAAATGGAAGCAGCTGAAGGGAACAAATCCAAAACTACCCTGAGACACCATGGCAACTGGCACCTCGCAGGGACAGCAGGAAGGGGGGCTTGGCCATTTCAAAATAAAAATTGTTTTGAATGGCCTTCTGTTTGCTGGGTGCTTGCTTAAAACCTGATGGTCACAAGGAAAATTATAAGACGTTCAATGCATAGTACAATGTACACTGTAAGCCTGAGCCTTTAGGAAACTGGAGAGAAAGAAAAGATTGTGGAAAATGCTTAAATATTTGGATACCGCAGATGTATTTATGCAGCAGGATGGAGGTACTGTTTACATATTATCCTTGGAGTGTAATTACAAGAATGTAAAATCTTGGGAATCAGAAGTATGTCTCTGTTCTGTAAGAACGGTGAATAATGATAGTGCTGTGTGTATCTATGAAATTTAAAACTAATTTTGTGTACACGTTTTGTTCACAGCAGGGATTTGAGTAGCATTTTCATGCCAGCTTCTACATCATTTCTAGAAAGGTTTTATGGCAGAGAACAAATGCTTTTCAATAAAATACAGATTTCACATCTGGTGCAGCTAATATATACTGTACTGAAAAACGTCCCTGATGAGTTACATCCACTTAAAATAAAAATACTTTTTCAGAATAATAGATGCTCTATTTCTTCTTAAAATTTACCCTGCGAAAATGAACCACCTGCATTATCATGGCTCTTAAGGATATCATTTTTGTTGTTGTTTTCTTTTAGAATGATTTATATATAACACTTACAGAATTTCACATTTTAAAAAAGAGGCTAAACTAGACCTGCAAATAAATAATTTTAAGTCTGTTAGTTGGGAAGAGTAATATAAATCATGATGTATTTTCAGATTGACCATGGAGATGCACCATCTGAAGCTAACAATGAACCTAGGCCAACACCAGCAGAAAATGGGGTAAATTACACTGCCTCTCTTACACCGAAACCAGCAACTCAGGTTGTCCATAGCCAACCAGCACCAGGTAAAAAAAAAACAAAGGAAAACAAAAAAAGTCCCATCTTTTCAAAATAAATCTGGATAATAATTCTTCATGTGCTTTTCATTTAAAGAACAAAGCGGGGCGGGGCAGGGGGTGTTGGTTTGGTTTGGTTTTATAAAATAGGTAGAAATTTTCCCACTACGTCAGTATGTTGTTAGATCCAGTCATCTTCAAACAAGTATCTTCTATTTAAGAGTTGCTTTTGTGGTGGAACTGAAGTTTATTACAAGCAAGAAGATTTGCAGGAGGTTTTTTTTGTATTGTTGCAAGTGCAGGAATCTCTTTAAATTGTTTTTACAAATATGCCAAATTTATGCATGTAGTTAATCTTATTCCACACACAAAATACACTCTCAGATACTTATATATTTTGTATTGAGATATCTCCTATAACAAATGCTTGTTAAACCACAGGGTTTATAGTTTTATGACTGCAGTCTTCATAGGCTCGATCTAACTGACATCCAAGGAGCTGGATTCACCTTGTGTACAGAAATTTTGCACTGACATCATAATATAGGGCAGTTGTACTAACTGTCAGCCTAATACCACTTAAATGGCTCATATGAGTGTATTGGTGAGTTCAATAACATCTTCCTTTTAAGTAAAACAACAAAGCTCAGATGGGTTTTCAGAAGGTTACCTTTTTGTGTTGGTTCACAGAATCAGTGTTGTTTTCCTTGTTGCTACTCATCTGCTCAAGAGATGTGTTTTCTCAAATGATTAATAAATGCCATGTCAGTGCATGTCCTGTTTTATGTCCTGCTGCATTTTAATATGCGATCAAGCAGCACAATAATGGCTGTTGTTTTAAAAGAATTAGAATCAGTCATCTCTTTTACCTCTAGGTTCGGTGAAAGCACCTGCAAAGACAGAAGATCTTATTCAGAGCGTCCTCACAGGTAATAAATACACTGCACGAATGATACACTTTTTTGTCAAGAGAAACGTATTTTTTATGAAATAGGCCATCTGGCTTAGACATTTCTTTCAGTGATTAGGACTGCAGTAACTCATAGAACACATATGTTTTGTTCCTCAGCTTTGAAGTTATTAAATGTTTGAGCACATGTTTCATGAGATCAGTATTGAGTGCCAACAGGGAATTTTTAAAAATATCCCATTGTTGTAGTTTCACAAGTACAATGTTACCATCTAATGCAGACAAAAGACCAGCATTATTATGAGAACAGAAGATAAATTTGCTCTGAATGTTGTGAATAGTAGTGAAACCATTTTATCTTCATTAGCCTTGCAGTGTTCCTATTGCTCCTACAAAACTGAAATTACCATTACATTAAGCAAACTGGTCTGTCGGTTAGATCGTGCCCTGCTGTTCAATTGGCAGTCATGTCTTCCAGCTTGGAATTAGAGTTTAGATTGCAAATCTCATAAGTCAGTTTATTTTATAGTTGTTCTCCTACATTAGAACCCATTCCGTATCCAAATCTTGTGTAGGCCTACATTTAGGTGTGGAAAACAGGTAAGACACATGAAATTCTGCGTGTCAATTGCCTCTTACTCAGTCTCCCTCATGTGTGGTAGAAAGAGGCCAGCCTAGATTGTGGAAGTACCTGCTGGCCTCATACAGTCAGTCTGTTGTCTGGGAAGGGTCTCCAGTCTGGCTTCCCCAGACCTGTGACCCCAGATCATGCAAGTCATCGTTCCCTCCGGCACTTTTTTTTTGTTGTTTTTAATTGCTGATTTGGGATGAGCTCATGCAGGTCAGGCTGGCAGACCCTGAGCTCGAGCTGTGATCTGGTTTCACAGAACAGGACATCCTTCATAGCTGCTGTTGGAGTGACAGCACTGGAGGGCAGTTCTCAGCATTTAGCTACCGATCCTTTGCTGGACTGGCAACCAGATGGCCATGACTCCTCTGATGCACGGTCTTCATCAAGAGAGAAATGAAGACTCTCCCGAGATGCCGTGATGATACCGGGACAGATGCCTTTAGCCAGTGCACGGGTCAAGGCAGGAGAGCAGGCAGCTGAAGTGCTGTTTGTGAAGGGAGTTTAGGCATCAGCATGTTATGTAGCCCATCCAGAGGGAAGGGAGACTTGAAGTGTTGGTACAGTGGGTACAAAAAAGATCTGTGGTCATATCTATGTAAGATCATGGTTTTATATGTTGGGCTGATGGGAATCTTTTGCATCTGAAAGGGGTTGAGGAAAGAAAGTACATGGGTTTTATGTTGCTACACATCTTGGTGTTCTAAATTTTCGTCTCACTTCTTAGTTTTTATCAGTTAAATTTGCCATGGTATTTTCAATCTGGTTAGCTTATTTCCAGGTAAGTCTACTCGGGTAGTTTATGCTAGCACATTTCACTTACTCCTGCTGATGGCATTTTCTGGGTTCTCTGGCTGAAATCGTATGCTATTAGAAAATTGAAGTGGCTTTTGTTATTATCATCGTAGAAGTGGAAGCACAGACTATTGAGGAGCTAAAACAACAGAAATCTTTTGTTAAGCTTCAGAAGAAGCACTACAAGGAAATGAAGGACCTTGTAAAGAGGCACCACAAGAAAACCACTGATGCTGATGGCATTTTCTGGGTTCTCTGGCTGAAATCGTATGCTATTAGAAAATTGAAGTGGCTTTTGTTATTATCATCGTAGAAGTGGAAGCACAGACTATTGAGGAGCTAAAACAACAGAAATCTTTTGTTAAGCTTCAGAAGAAGCACTACAAGGAAATGAAGGACCTTGTAAAGAGGCACCACAAGAAAACCACTGATCTTATCAAAGAGCACACTGCAAAGTATAATGAAATCCAAAATGACTACCTGCGACGAAGAGCAGTTTTAGAAAAAACAGCAAAAAGAGACAGTAAGAAAAGGTATGTTGAACGTAGCTTTCCTGTTCTTGGTATTGGAGATCCTTACTCGTCTTCTTTTATAGTAGACAATTAATATGGAGGTGTCATTAGAACACAGGAAAAAATCAAAAGCAGCAAGATTCCTAGGTAAAATGAAGTCAGGACCTTTGATACGGAAATAATCAGAAAAAGCCCTCTCCATGATGTGCTGGTTCTCTGCCAGAAGCCAGATATGTTGTTCACTATATTACACCTCTTGCCCTGTAAATAAGGGCACGCAATATTTATCTTGGGACTTTCCCTAGCCCGCTGGTATGGGTAGGTGACTCAGCTGTGCTGGCAACAGCAGCCAGTGGTTAGGTAGTGAGCTTAATCACAAACTGTGAGAGGGGGCATCTCCTATGTACTGGGACAGTTCAGGAACCAGACTGCAGCGTGAAAGAACTCAAACCTATCTGGATAAAGTGTTTTACTTTTGTACTCGGGTCAACTGCAGCACGTTTTATCAGAGCACCCCATCTTCTCCCATGCTGACCTCCTTTAGGAGAAGGAGTATCAGTTCCATGGAAACTACTGCCCCACACTTAATAATATAACTTTATAATGTAGCTCCTTTTTCAGGTAAGGAAAAGTTTTTGCAGCCAGCACACATGGTCATCCTGCCCAGATTAAGCAAGTGGTTTACTCTGGGCCACCACAGCGTGCTGTCTGGTGGTGGAAGAGACCCAAGTGTCAAAACAGGAACAAAACTTCAGTCCTCCTTTATGCTATTTATGGGTAAAACGGATATTCTGGATTTGGGGATGAAGAGCATTGTCTCCAAGTTAGAGTCCTGGAAAAAACTCATGCTAGAGTAGAAGGCATCAGATGTATAATTAGGTGAAAGAAACGCCTGAAAGTTATTAACATCTGACTGCTGTTTAAATTATGATTGATTCAGACCACTTGGGGATCTCTTAATGATTGCTTGGCTTTGCCTCTGCATGCACACCCTTCCTGTCTTATGTCTTTTTCTAAATCTTGCATTGCCCTATCTCTTTGTGTGTGCTGATACAATTTTTCTGTTATTTGTTTAGGTAATAATAAAAAAGGAGAGTTATATTTATCATTATCAGTTTGAAATGCAAAGACCGTTATGACTCATTAATCTTTCCACAATTATTGTCTTGTTCATATGGTAAGGAACTGTATGTTAATAAAGATCAATTCTGGCAAAACATATACACACATAGGTACAATCAGGGTCTGATACTGTTAAGATTGAATGATAATCAGGTAGGGGTACCCTCCTAAATTTTTATTTCTCCCATTAGTGCAGCATTTTCATTTTAACTTGATTTATTTTTGAAAGTAATTAGATAAGCACAAAAGTCCTTTAACTTTTACATAAAATTGATATAGCTGCAGTTCTTAAATATGAAGACATTGAATGAACATGAAAAAAATTAATTGATACTTTTTGGTAGGAGATCATCAGAGAAAAAGGCTGCAAGCATGCTCTGGCTGCTAACCTTGTTGATAGTACCTCTCGTTGTAAGTAACTGGGATTCAGGCCATAACTTGTCCCTAGGAAGGACCTTATTCATTCATGCCTGCCTGATGACAGTATGTCATTGGGATTAATAAGAGCTTAACACTCATTATATATCTATGTTCAGCTGGCCTTAACTGTTGCCAGTTTTTAGGCTTCCAGGTTCTACACTTGAGTTTAACAAACTCCCTTAATGACTGGTTGTCAGCTGCACACAGTGTTACTTTATCCGCTGTATTTTCCATCATCAATGTGTGTGACAGATAGTGGCAGACAAAACAATGTCATGTTTCTTTTCTCTAGCATATTCTATTCAAATTTAAGCAGAAAACCAAAATAAATAAAATTACTCATTTATCTTCGAGTAAAAAGGATTTTGGTTTTTTATTTCGTTATGATCTGACCATAAATCATTCATGATAATCAGGCAATAAAACCCTGCAGTCTGTTACGTGGAGCTGTCACAGTGATTTCAGAGATGTGAAGTTTTATGTGTAGATATAGAGAAATCTGAAGGTTAAAAAATCTGAGGTTGAATTTTAAAAAGGCAGGAACATATTTTTAGGGATTTTCAAACTTGCAAGTACATATTATCTCAAGCAGCAGACTTCTAATAGAATACTATATCCCAAGGAAAAAGGTGATTTTTATCATTTTAAATTATTACTGAAGCTATTTACCTGTAACTGCAAAGTATAAATCACTACTTCATCAGGAGTCCTTGTATCAGGTTGCCATACAAATGTGTTGTCTCTGGTCAGAAGCAATCCATGTTTCATGCCCTTGTCTAAAGTTCGGCCAAGATGCAGTAAAGCCATTGTCTGTAGGAAGTTTGAAGCATTTATTTATACACATGCACAAGTGTTTTGCTGGTGTTGTTCTGAAGTTTCTCTAATGATCGTGTCCCTTAAAAGACATGTATGTTAGTATTTTAGCCAGCGTTTAGAAACAGGCCTTATTTCTTTTTCCCAAAAATACAAGAGAAATGTCAGCTTTAAAATGTATACTGTAATGGCATAATATGCTGACTTTACTATTCATTAATGCTGTCTTCTGGCTCTGTATTTAAATTATCCTCATCTATCACACTGACACCTCTTAACCTCTTAGCAGAATATTCAAATACAATAAAAATACAAGAAATAAAAAGAGGCTACCTTGGGGTTCGTATTCTCAAACTGATGAAAGCAGCTTCACGTTATTTCAGTGGAGGTAACTCTAATTGTCAGCAGCTGCAAACTTGAACCTGGGAGAGAGAAGAGAGGCAGCCAGTGTAGCAAGTTCTCTGCATTGTAATCTCTGCAAATTTCTGAGTAGCAAACTCATTTTTCTCACAGTGTCAGCCCTCTCTGTTCAAGGTTTTGCTGTTTTGTCCATCTCATGCACTGTTCTGGGGTTCCCAGGCAACTGATTTAACACCTCAGTACAGCAGTAAACACAGCTGCAGAGCAGGGACATGGCATAATCTTTTTTTTTTTTTTTTTTTTCCTTGGGTTTAGTTTAGTGCTGGCCTGAGAGTGATACTGCTTTTGCTCCTTATTTTTTCCTTGAGCAGTTTAGTGTCATCATGTCTCCTTTCACAATTACATCCGTCCTCCCTTCTGTCTTAAGAAAGAAAAAAAAACCCAAAACTGTTCCTTAGTGTTGCTTTTTAGCTTCCTCATTATATTTTTCTTTTGCTCCTATGTGCTGCCTTCTGAGGTTTACTCCCCACTGGGGTGTTAACTTTCCTCCTAAAGTCAGCAGTCCACAGAGCACTTTCCTCTGTGTGTGCTATGCATGGCATTTCCTGAAGGGGGGAGAAAATACCAAATAAAGGGATGTTCCTACCATTTTAAGCATTTTATAAATGCAGATGTAAAGTTATGCTCTTAAATTTATTGCTAAGCGTATGCAAGGATGACTCTGTTTTCAAAATACTTAGCATTCACCATTTCTGCTGAGGACTGTGCAGCTTTGAAGTTCAAGTTACGTGTCTGGAAGTGGATAAACAAGTTCCATGGGCATTTGTTTATGGGAAATCTTGGCAGTTGCATTTATAGCTCGTTTATACTAAGTCCAGTTCACACCTCCATGATGGGTTAGTAAAATGAGGTTTAAAAGCAATAGCCATCTCATTAATAAACTGTTAACGCTATTTTTTTTCCTAAAAGATGAAATTACTGGACTTACTAGAGCTAAAGTCATCTTTTGGCCCTCTATGTGGTGCTGAGAAACTTCTTAACGGGCTACATATAACCAGCTGCCTTAAAAACAAGGTTCAAGTATGGGGCAGAGTGTACATGCCTAGTGATTTAGACCTTGGTGGTGTGTGTGTGTCTTTGCAGATCTGAAACGGGCAGCCCAGACCACAGTTCTTCAACTATTGAACAGGAATTAGCTGCGCTCGACTCTGAAATGACCCAGAAGCTAGTCGAGCTGAAGGAGAAGCAACAACAGCAGCTGCTAAATCTCCGACAGGAGCAGTATTACAGTGAAAAGTACCAGAAACGAGAGCACATTAAGCTGGTACGTTCGTTATGTTGTCTGCTTTTCTTTAGCGATCTCAGGGTGAGTAATGAAAGCAGCATGACACTATAATTAAATGGGGCTTCCTGTTACTTGGAGTCCATTTCAGAGCTTGATTTCCCTGTGGTCTGCTGCAACTTCAAGGGGTTGTTGTGTCGTTTTGTCACTAACATTTCTAACAACCTGGAAAACTTTGGGTGGAAGGCAGAAAGGCAACACGGTTATTACTACTGCGAAAGCAGAGAGTCCTTACCTCTAGTTACGTAAGCCTTGGTTTATTGCAGCTTTTGGACGATGTTTCTGTTTTGTTCTGCCACCTTTTTAAACATAAAACACTCAAGGAGGCAGGATTAGCTGGAAAATAAATTGAAACATGAAAATAAATAAAAGAAAATAGACTTAAACATTCCCCAGGGCACAGAGTTGTGCCAAACAGTGTTCCTGTTGCAGATGAATGCTTTAAGGAGATGCAGGACATAATCTCTGTATGGTAAAGAAATATTTTGCGTCCATCAATCCAAGCCAGCTTGTGTTTTTACAGCTGGAGTTCGGCTCACAACTACAGCAGGATCATAGGCCTTCTGAGCTGAAATAGAGGAGCTTGGGCAGATGGCAGCTGATGCTGATGGATATTCTCAGGCAGAAAAGAACATTTTTAAAGGGTGTTATGGGAGTGCTCAACTGTTTCTCAACTCCAGACAATCCCCTCTCACAATTTTTTTCTATTATATGATGTTTTCTCTCATTACTGTTGGATGAAGTGATTTGTCTACTCTGCCCTGCCATCCAAAAGGAGCAGGTCAGAGGAGTGATGTGCATGGATATTGCTCAGCAAGGCCTTTTCACAAAGTCATTCCCATGGATCATAGCATGGTGGTGCAGTTCTCAAGCGGTGCCCTGTTTTATCAGTGGCTGTATGTGAATCACTTCACAGTACCCAACAGGAGCTGCTCCAGTGTGGGTGCATGGACGCGGTTACCTGTGCTGCAGGGAGAGAGCTCACATTCAAGTTGTTGGCTGCATTTCAGGGATTTTAATTTTTATAAAAACAAACCATTTTGGACCCACATAGTTGAGCTTATATTGTAAGTTAAGTCATTTCTCATTTCAAAATGGGAAATGGCATTTCTCAAAGCAAAGATACATTTTCAGCATTGTCCAGTTAGGTAGTGTCAGGATAAATTCATATTTTAGCACTGAACCTTCAGACAATTTTCCCTCTGAGCTGTGCCGGAGTTAATATTCCGGTTAAAATCTGCTTTGCAGCCAAAGAGATTCTTTCTGATGTCTTTCTTTTAGAGGACAGGCTATTGTCAGTATCTTTCTTCTTTTATCTAAGGAATGAAAAGCTGGATCAGACTAGCGAGGCATTATTATACATTCTCTGCTTCATCATCCTGAGGATTATTTTACAGAATCAGACTTAAACTAGAGGGGTTGATCAAACCAGATTGGTCCCATTTCCCAATTTAATTCATTGAACTTGCACACAAGCCCTCTCCATGTGTCCTCTCCTGTCAGCATCGCCACCACAAGCATGCTTTTTGTTAGCAGTTTCAAACCAGATGAGACTGGACCCAGCACTGCACAGCAGATTTCAAACCAACAACTCAGATTTTTTTTAATCCATCATTCTGTGATCAAAATGTAGGCTATGCTTATCTATAATTAGCTTTCTTAGCTATCATGCATGAATTTTCAATAACCACCTGACCACCCTGAAATCCAAACTGTTTCATGTAATAACGCTCAATGCAAGAGGAATGTTTTCAGCGCTCGCAGAAAACCTTGAATATTCAGTGACACAGGAATTCAGTTTGTAGTTTATATTGCATAAATTCAGTTTGTGACCATTTATGAATTATCATAATTCATTTTAATTCCTAGCTAGCAAAGGTAAAATCTGCAAAATATATTTTGGTTTTACATTTAATATTCTGAAACTGTATCACCTTAATGTACAGAGAAGTAGTAGTTTCTGTGTAAATTGGACATACAGAAGTCTGGCTGGACTGGCAAGTTAAGAATGCATTTACACCAATAAGAATGTTTACCGGCTTTTGATTGTTGGTACTTAATCAGGGAATGGTGTAACACCTTCATGTCTGCTACAGACTTTTGAGGAAACTTAGATGCATGTATGACGTTTAGCTGAAAATACACATTTTTGTTTCTTGGGATTTTTTTTAGCTTATTCAGAAGTTGACAGATGTAGCAGAGGAGTGTCAGAACTGCCAGCTAAAGAAACTGAAAGAAACATGTGAAAAGTAAGGTGCTATTCCCCTTATAATTGATTACTACTCTGTGTGGGTTTTGTTTAGATACATTTTGAACTTGCCTTTATGTTTTATGCTTTAGAGAAAAGAAAGAATTGAAGAAAAAAATGGACAAGAAGAGGCAGGAGAAGATCACAGAAGCAAAGTCCAAGGATAAAAATCAAATGGAAGAGTAAGTATATCCCTAGATCCATATCCTTATATGTTATGAGGAGACACAAGATTTTTCACAACTGGAAAATCAAAGAAAGGTCTCAACCCTAAATACAAGGCAGCTTTTAGTCAGACTGTAATACCTCCCCAGAGCAGTGGAGTCCTCCTTACTTCCGCTGATACTAATTTAATTTCCTGGGACTAATCTAATCTCCTGTTCTGCGAGCATTGAGAGTCTGGGTCAGCTGAAAGGTGCTGATGTGAGGTATGGGGACATGCCTGCGAGTGGCGTGGTGGAGTGATTCACCAAGATGCTGTTAATCCAGACACTGTTCCTCTGAGTATAAATAGACTTAGTGGCTTCAGTTCCTGCAGGGTTTGATTTCACCTTAACTTAGGTTTTTATTTATGAGTTATCTTTTCTTCTTAACTCTATTAAAGCTGCTCTCCAGAAGAAATAGCAGCACCACACTGGAATGTTTGCTCTACTTTTGTGATAAATTCCCCTCAGATGCTGTGCTACTGATTCTCCTCCAGTGACAGTGTTATGCAGCGTGCAGTCACTTTGGGTGGAAGAGAGAGGAAAGCTGAGCTCTGAGGGTCAGTTTTTGTGAACAGGGACAGGAATGTTAATTTCATTTGTGCACCACCAGACAATACAAACTATAGTTGTGCAAGTTGATTATATTCTTCTCAAGGGCACAGTATCTAGGTTTGTTTGTCCCCCTTTGTTTGTTTTGGCAAGCAGCTCAAAAAGAAAATGGAGCATTTTAATCTTGCACTGTTTGCTGGGATATTCTTGTTACCAGTCTTTAGTAACATTTGAGGACAGTTAAAAATACAGGAGGAACAATAAAAAAAAAAATCCAGAATATCTGAGATTTACCAAGTAACAAGACACCACTATGTTTGGTTTTCTACAAGTAAAAAGGTTTATACAGGTTTTGAAGCCTCTCAACATAGAATCTGTGTATTTGGTAACACTGAAAGGTCACACACACACAATGAACTGCATCAGATAATTTAAGAATTGATATTATAGAATTTTAATAAACATCCCAGAAAAAAGATGATATGGATGTTGTCCACTTAGACTTTAGTAAAGCCTTTGACACCATTTCCCACAGCATTCTCTGGGAGAAACTGGCTGCTCATGGCTTGGACAGGCGTACTCTTCGCTCTTGGCTGGATGGCCAGGCCTAAAGAGTTGTGGTGAATGTGGTTAAATCCAGTTGGGGACTGGTCACAAGTGGTATTCCCCAGGGCTC